ATATATATATATATATTTGGTTTTTTATTCAGTTGAGCTCAAGGTTGCAGGAGAAAAGAATCAATAGATGGAAATATCAAAAGTGTGCAAGGGGCTAACTTTTAGCAGTTTTGTCACTTTGTGTGACTGGACTTTTTAACAGGTTTATGATAAATATCAATCAGGATGGAACACTGAATTCCAAACTCCACTAGGACTTCAGTTTGGAGTAAATCAAGAAGAAGACAAAAAAGAGGTATGTAATGATAAATGCTTTTGGACACCAGTGTTTCTACTGTAACAATATATGTGAAATTAGAAATAATTTGTTGTGTCCTAATAATTAAGAGCTAATACTAAAAATTTCATAAAGGCTAAGAAATTACTTGAGTTATTATAATATGTTAAACTTCTAAGCTCCTAGGATTTAGGGTACCTTGATGTGAAATCAGAGATATTATCCTACTGAATTTCTTCAATTAGTGATATTTGCCACAATAACTTGTTTAAAGGAAGAGTTTTCATTTATGGCTTCTTTTTTTCCTCCCTTTTCAATCCAAAGTTAGTGTAAACCAACAGTTTTTAACACTGTCCATGCACCAGTATCAGATGTGGAGCTTTTTTCAGATATATATATTTTTTTGGTATCTGAAAAGGTAGGTTTGGGCATCTGTATTTTTTAAAAAGTGTCACTGATGATTGTGCTATATCTTCAATATTGAGAACTGCTATTAGACTTTTAATGTTTTTACTAAAAGGTTACAAACATGTCTGTGTGTATACTATTGCTATTTGAGTAGCTATGTCCTTAAAAGAGAATATATAAACCCAGAGATATGAATGTATCACACATCGTAGTAGCACTTGCTTTTGTTATACCTGTTCCGTTTAAAAGTATGATGCTGTTATATTCCTCAGTCCTTCTCTGCTCCCCACCACGTTAGGCTAGGCTTAGAGTGTGGTTTTAATTTTGAAAAGTTAGTGACTACTGTTATGAAATACATCTCACATTCTTTCTGTGGCCCTGCTTCTATGGTACTTACTACTTGGTTATAATAAATATCTACACTAATAAAAGAGAAACATGGTAATCATCGTACGACCGCTACCCTTCCCATTGGCTAATCAGGGAGATGGTTACAAACATGTCTGTGTGTATACTATTGCTATTTGAGTAGCTATGTCCTTAAAAGAGAATATATAAACCCAGAGGTATGAATGTATCACACATCGTAGTAGCACTTGCTTTTGTTATACCTGTTCCGTTTAAAAGTATGATGCTGTTATATTCCTCAGTCCTTCTCTGCTCCCCACCACGTTAGGCTAGGCTTAGAGTGTGGTTTTAATTTTGAAAAGTTAGTGACTACTGTTATGAAATACATCTCACATTCTTTCTGTGGCCCTGCTTCTATGGTACTTACTACTTGGTTATAATAAATATAGTATATATTTTATTATACCAAGTATAGTCATTTCCTCAAGTGCCATTGACAAGGGACTGTACTAAGGGCAAACTAAATTAGTGCTTCTTTCTCCGATTTGTCTGTAACATATAATGGCCATGTGCTTGAAGATATAAAGGTCTTGCTGTATGTGATATCCTGAGCCACCGTAAATAGAAGGAAATTAAGGACTTAGTTCCATGTGGCTTCCATATCATATCGTTTTCTTGTCTAAGGCACAAAGATAATTTCCGTCCTTGGAAAGTCCTCTGAGAGCAGAATCTTAACAATTTTAACTTCTTTCCTTTAGCGTCAAAAGCGGTACCTGAGATATAGGCGACTTTTCATGGATATTGAAAGAGAAAAAGTAAAAGAACAACAAAGGCAAAAAGAATGCAGGAAGAGAACTGAAAAGTGAGTTTTTTGATCCTCATTGTGATCCTTAAATTACTAGTTAAGGTGATTTTAGAAGCTAATTTAGAAATAATCAGGTAGTGGTTTTGCCTTCTGAGCCATAGTGAGAACAACTATTTTTGATCTGGATGGAAGTATTAATAGATGATTAAGGGCTATGTTTTTAAACAGTGATACTTAAGCAGAAAGTACAAAGAGTTCCCACTTACCCCCTGCCTCGTCTACTGTTAACATCCTGTACCTCAGTGGTACATTTGTTACAACTGATAAACCTACGTGGACGCATTATAATCCATATTTTACATTCGGGTTCACTCTTGGTGTAATAGATTCTTACAGTTTTGACAAATGTATAATGACATGTATCCATCATTACAGTATCACACAGAATAGTTTCACTGCTCTAAAAATCCCGTCCTACAACTATTTATTCATCTCTCCCTCCCCCAATCCCTGGCAACCACTGACCTTTTCACTGTCTCCATTGTTTACTGCCACAGAGTTGTAATCGTGCAGGATGTAGCCAAAAAGCCTGTTCAGTTGACTCCTTTCACTTAGTAATATGCTTTAAGGTTCTTCCAATACCTTTTCATGGCTTGGTAGCCCATTTCTTTTTAGTGCTGAGTAATATTATAGTGTCTGAATGTACTACAGTTCATTTATCCATTCACCTACTGAAGGACATCTTGGTTTCTTCCAAGCTTTGGCAATTATGGATAAAGTTTCTGTAAATATTCATATACAGGTTTTATGTGGGCATAAATTTTTAACTCCTTTGGGTAAATACCAAGGAGTGCGTTTGCTGGATTGTATGGTAAGAGTTTGTTTACTTTGGATAGAAATTGCCAAGCTTTCTTTCAAAGTAGCCAAACCATTTTGCATTCCACCAGCAGTGAATGAGAATTCTTGTTGTTTCACATCCTTGCCAGCATTTGGTGTTTTCAGTGTTTTGGCTTTGGGCCATTCTAAGTATCTAATAGTATCTCATTGTTTTAATTTGCAATTCCGTAATGACATATGACGTGGAACATCTTTTCATATACAGTTGACCCTGGAACTATGTTGGGGTTATGGGCACCAACTCCCCCACACAGTTGGATATCTGCATATTGCTTTGACTCCCCAAAAACTTAACTACACTCATCTCATATCTATGGGAGAGTGGTTCTAGGACCCCCCCTATGGATTCCAAAATCTGTGAATGCTCAAGTCCCTTATTTATGGTATGGCATTGGCATTGGCATTCACGGATTCCTAACTATAGATTGGAAATACTGTTTCCATCTGCAGTGGTTGAGTCCACACATGCAAACCTGGGGGATCCAAAGGGCCAACTGTAGATTTATTGGAAAATATTCAAGTATAAATGAACCCATGCATTTCCAACCCATGTTGTTTAAGGATCAACTGTACTTATTTGTCATCTGTATATCTTCTCTGGTGAGGTCCCTATTCAGGTCTTTAGTCCATCTTTTCATTGAGCTTTTTTAAAATTGAATTTATTGGGGTTACATTGGTTAATTAAATAGGTTTCAAGTGTACAAATCTATAATACATCATCTGTATATTATATTGTGTTCTCACCACCCATAGTCTAGTCTCCTTCATCCCCATTTATCCCTCTCTTTACAGTCTACCTCCTCCCACCCCCTTTCCCTCTGGTAATCCCTATACTGTTTATAAGGTGTTTTTGTTTGTTTGTTTGCTGGTCCTTCACCTTTTCCACCCAACTACCCCCTTGAGAGCTGTCAGTCTGTTCTCTGTTTCTATGAGTCTGTTTCTTTAAAAAAAACACGCACACATGTTTTTATTGATTTTATAAGGGAAAGGGAGAGAGATAGAAGCATCAATGAAACACATCAACATCAGCTGGCTGCCTTCTGCATGCCCCCTACTGGGATGGAGCCCACAACCTGGGCATATGCTCTGATGGGGAATCGAACCGGTCACCTCTTGGTGCATGGGATGCTGCTAAACCAACTGAACCACATCAGCTGGGCTAGTCTGTTTCTACTTTTGTTTGTTGATTTATTTTGTTCATTAGATTTCCACATTTAAGTGAAATTATATGGTTATTTGTCTTTCTCTGACTGGCTTATTTCACTTAGCATTATAACCTCTAGGTCCATCCATGCTGTTGTGAAAGGTAAGATTTCTTTAACAGCATTCTAAAGTAAACATATATCAGCTTTCTAAACAGGAACCGATGAACACTGCTTTACTTATCCAGTTGCAATAAGAATCAAATGATTTGCTTTCATTAATTTATTTAGCAGCTATTTATTGAGCATCTATTAATTAGTAGACATGAAGCTAGACTTAGGGGGTACAAAAAATGAAAGACATGATCCCACTCTTCAGGGATCTCACTGACTAATTGGGAGGCAGATAAATGAACAGGTAATGACAATACTATATATTACGTATTACAAGATAGTGTAGCATGTGGTTAAGAACATGGAGAGAGATGTGTTCAAGTCCCTGCTCTGCTGCCTACCAGCTGTGTGACTTTGGGAACGCTACCTCTGTGAGCCTTAGTTTCTTCTCTATAAAACAGGGATAATGATGGTATATGCCTCATAATGTTGCCATAAGCATTAAATAAGGTAACATGTAAATGTGCTTAATACAGAACCTGGCACATACTATGTGCTCAATAAATGTTAGTTGCCAAATATTTAAGGGAAAAAGTTATACATAAATTATCCCAGAGAATAGAAAACAGGGAATGCTTCCCAAATAATTACAGAGGTCATTATAACCTTAATACCAACCTAACAAGGACATTTATAAAAAAGAAATTACAGACTAATTTCTCTTATAAAAACCTCAAGTAAAATAAACTATTGTTTGTAATATCATTAGAAGAAAAAAATTACAAGACTATGGAGAGCCCAGAGACTGTATTTTGAACCCCAAATTGGGGGTATGGTATAGCAGGACAGGGAAGACTTCCTGAGCTGAGTTTTGGAGAATTAGAAGCCGTAGTGTGAGAGAAAATGGTAATTGGATTGGGGAAAAGCATACATGGGAATTCTAGGCAAAAGGCATAGCTTTGTAAAAGCATTGACTCTTGAGAGAATGTGACACTTCTGACATTGATGGGATTGGGGCTAATATAATGGCAAGAGGTGAGCCTTAAGGAATAAGGACAGACAAGATCGTAAAGAGCTTTGTATGTCATGACAAGGAATTTGGATTTTATCTTGAAAACAGGAGCCATATAGAGACATAGTGGGGAACAGATAAGATGACTGAAACTAGGAGATCATTGAAGTAATACACTTAGAAAGATGAGAGGTGAAATTAAATTTTAAACAAAGTCCTGTTACAGTAAAGTTCTTGCTATGTGTCAAGCACTTTACATAATTGTCTCTAATTGGTACACAATCCTGCAGGGTAGTGGTAACTACTGTTCCCTGAGTGTTTACAGTGTGCCAGGCACAGTGTTGGGTGTTTTAGAGGCATTAGTTCATTTCCTCACTTCAGTAACCTTGTGAGGTAAATTTTACTCTTTGCCTTTTACAGATGAAAAATGAACCCTAGAGAAGTTAAGAAACTTGCCTAAGATCTTACCTAGCAATGGTAGAACTGGGATTCTACCCCAGATTTATTGGACTCCAACACCTAACCTCTTTGGATCTGTAACACAGCCTTTTAGATAAGCCAGGGCCAGGAGGCAGTGAGGAGAAGGCAGTTTTAAGAGCGTACGAGAGAGAATTGATAAGATTTTGTCAGAGAATTCAAGCGTAAATTTTAGGTTTATGGTTTAGGCTACCAGGTAAATGGGGTGCTATAAAACAGATTTGCCAGGAAGGAGGTAGGTAGAGGTGGGGAGTATACATTTAGTTTGGAGCATATTGGGTTGGACGTGTTTAAAGGAAATCCAAGTAGAGAGTCTAGTAGGAAATAATTCAGTTATTTTTAGTAATGATTTTAGAAACCACTAAGAAAGAATGCTGTCAGAATCAGGAAACAGTAGACAGGAAGGTTGAAAGAAAAACAGGATCAGCAGGCAAAGATTTAGACCATGCCAGATTAGACCTTAATCCTGTTCTGTCAAAGAGGAAGATTTCTTCCACTTCCTTGAGAAGTTATTTTTCTAACAGGGCACCTCTTTAACTCCTGAAATAAATCTGTTTCTTAATCTTAGAAGCAGAATTCCTTTTAACTTTGTAAAAGATTAGTAGTATGGCCTTATCATATATGACTCAGTAACAAGAGTTTTTGAGTTGTTGAAATTATAAGAATACTAGAGGCCTGGTGTACGAAATTTGTGCACTTGGGGGCGGGGTCCCTCAGCCTGACCTGTGCCCTCTCGCAGTCTGGGAGCCCTCGGGTGATGTCCGACTGCCACGGAGGCGGGAGAGGCTCCTGCCACTGCCGCTGCGCTTGCCAGCTGTGAGCCCAGCTTCTGGCTGTGGGAGCGCACTGACCACCAGGGAGCAGCTCCTGCCTTGAGTGGGATCAGGCTGAAACTGGCTCTCTGACATCCTCCAAGAGGGGGCAGGCCAGGCCAAGGGACCCCACTGGTGCACAATCGGGGCCAGGGAGGGATGCAGGAGTTTGACCAACCGGGGAGGGACCTTGGGAGGGCTCCAGGGTATGTCTGGCCCATCTCCCTCAGTCCAGTTTGGCTGGACCGCAGCAGTAAGCTAACCTACCAGTTGGAGCATCTGCCCTCTATTGGTCAGTGCACGTCATAGCGACTGGTCAACTGGTCGACTGTCTGCCCCCTGGTGGTCAGTGCACATCATAGCAAGGGGTTGGGGGGCCTTAGCATATCATTAGCACATTACGCTTTGATTGGTTGAATGGACGACCGGACACTTAGCATATTAGGCTTTTATTATATAGGATACTTTTAATGTAGTTTACCTGTGATATTTTATTTTTAGGAGTCTCTTTAAAATGTAAATATTGATGTCTATTTGTTTCATTGTGCAAACACAGGGATAGCAATATTATATTAGTCCTTTAGAACAATTTTTAAAATCATA